GTGATCTCCTCTTTTGCCCGGCCGGTGATGCTGTGCTTGATGCACCCTGGGATGGGGTTTGCCCTCTGGGCTGCCTGAGCACGCTGCTGGCTCCTGTTGAGCCTGCTGTGGACCAGCACCCCTAGATCCTTTCTGCAGGGCTGCTCTCCAGCCACTCCTCTCCCAGTTTATTCTTGTGCCCAGCGTTATTCCGTCCTCGGTGCAGAATCCAGCATTTTCACTTGTTAAAATTCATCCCATTAATCATAGTCCAGTGCTCCAATCTGTCTAGATCCCTCCGCAAGGCCTCTTGTCCCTCAGGAGAGTCAACAGCAGCTCCCAGGTTGGTATCATTAGCAGACTTGCTAATGGTGCATTCAACTCCTCCATCCAGCTTGTTGATAAATGTGTTGAAGAGAACTGGCCCAAGAACTGAGCCCTGAGGAACACTGCTAGTGACTGGTCACCAGCCAGACGTAGCTCCATTCACCACAACCTTTTGAGCTCTGCACTGCAGCCAGTTCTTCACCCAGCACAATGTGTACCTGCTCATCTCACAGCTGGACAACTTTCCAGAAGGATGCTGTGAGGGACAACATCAAAAGCCTTACTAAAATCCAGAAAAACTGCATCCACCAGTTATGATCAAACACTTATAATCAAACCATCTAGAGGGTTAGGAATGCTTTCTTTCTTTCTTTCTTTCTCTGTCTCTTTCTCTCTTCCTTTCTTCCTTTCTTCCTTTCTTCCTTTCTTCCTTTCTTTCCTTACTTTTCTTTCTTTTCTTTCTTTTCTTTTTTCTTTCTTTTCTTTCTTTTCTTTCTTTCTTTTCTTTCTTTCTGCCTGCCTGCCTTCTTTTTCTTTCTTTCTTTCTCTCTCTCTCTCTCTCTTTGTCAGTGTATCCACATTTTCAATATTATTGTTGCTGTGTTATATCATGATCCTTCTGGTGAGTGTAACAAAGACAAAGAAAGAAGCTCCTCCTGTGGGAACACTAACAATTACCATGGTTGAAAGTAGGAAACAGAACAGAAATTTGAGGTTACGTTTCATCTCCATACCTGTTGCTTTCATTAGAAGTGAGATGGTCGCTAATGGTTTCACCTTTACTACTTGTTACATTTGCTGTAAGTCAGGCTATGAGCCTTTCCTGAGCTGCTCCTTTTAGATCAAGAGTTTTTAGTCTCTGTGTAACACCCCTCAGGATACAGGAAAGGGTGGCACATTGCACTTCTGAGCACAGCCACAGCAGACGGTAGAAAGGAGCAAGACAGATCAATATCAGCTATGAAAGTTTCAGCTTTTTTGAATTGAAAGAATGTCCGGATAATATTGTAAGTCTTGTGAGTCCAGGAACCAGAATATGTCTTAGTACCAAGGTGGTTTGCCTGTCTGCCACTCACAGTCACTGCTGTAAGAAGTGACACTTGCATTGTAATATGTGGAAACTCTGATTGAGCCTTTTTTCATCACAGCAGCGTTTGGGTAGGTGCTACTGAGCATGCAAAGAACGGGAGGGGGCCTAAAGGAGAAGTCGAATAACCTCAAAAGCTCAAAAAATGCTTTCTGCTTCTGTCAGTGCCTTCTGCTTCCAAGCATTTGCAGTCTCAGATTAACTACCTGGCTCTTATTTTCTTCTGGCTTTTCCCCACTGGAATAATTATTCTTCTAAATAGTCTTTCAGCATCAATGATCTTCACTTAGATAGTAGTTGTGTGGAAGTCAATGGCTTTGTGTTAATTTTCTCCTTTCAAATGAAAAGTAAATCATATGTTTTAGCATATGATTAGCAGCTGTTGTTGGAGGAGTTATAGCTACCCTCTTCAGGTAGTGGAGAACAAAGTCGCCCAGCTAGTCAGCTCTGCATGCCTTCAAGGTGATGGTTCTAATCTGTTGAATTCTGCATGCATCTAAGATGAGGTGCAAATTTGGAAACATACACTTAAATGTATAAGCCTTATTTTGTCATGTATTTACCTTTTGAAAACAATGGGAACTAGTAATGAAACAGAAGCTGGATATTCTGTGCCTTCGTGGATATGGATCCGCATCAGTTAGAACATGTCTATACTTTCATGTACATACACAGAAATTCTTAGAAAATTCAGCTTGCTGAATAGTATTTGAACCAAAATCAAAAAAATGACATTGGAACAACATAGCTTTCATAAATGCGTTAGTGTTGTTCTTGTTTGTTTGCTGTGGCTATGGACATTTCTCATATTCATGATACGAAGTCAGAACAAGACTGTTCCTGTCCCAAGGGCTCACATCCTATTACAAGAGAAGAGGCAAGTGGATGCTGTAAAGGGAAACACGTTTGCAGTATGCGGAACACTAGCAGCAGTGTAAGAGTGGCGTTGAATCCCAGTTTTCGCACAAAGCTTGTGATTTTTGTTAAGTGCTGTCATCTAGAATTGATTTATGAACTTAGTTTTCGTATGTTTTCATTGGTTCTAGCATGCACAATTGTGGACAAAACCAAAATATGGAAATGTGACACTGAATAACTAGGTCACCATCGTGACAAACAAAAGCCCTCCAAATGTTTGCTTCTCAGTTGTAAGCCAGTCTTTTCATTTTGGAGGGAAAGAAAGGAGTTTAAGTAGTTGAACCTAACTAATGACTGGAGTAGAGGACAGTCAAACAGCAATGCCAGCATCTCTTTGAATACTCTACTAACATTTGTGGGAAATTTAAGTTAAAGCATCTGATTTGGTTGAACTGGGACAAATTTCAGAAACAAGATCCAAAAGTACTCTTAAAGTGGCTGAATTGTGGGTTGGAAGGCATCCAAGGTGGATATGTGAAGGCAGGCTGGTGAAGTGTCCGTATAGCTGCAGGATTTGGGTTATTTTTCCCCATTTGACCACAGAGCCAAGATATTCAGTGGGCATAAAGTTCCATCAAATACATAAAATCAAAATAATTGTATAGACCCTAACAGTAATGTCTGTTCCTCTTCAGAGCTCAAATTTTGCTGTCTTGGTGTCTCATGTCTGCAGTTCTCCAGCCTAAAGATCTTAGCCCCCGTGCCCACCTGAGAGAAGAAAGGCCTTTCAAATGTCAAACATAAGTGCAATGACCATTTTCCTAACCACTCTTCCAGATGCTCAGACATTTCTGAGATTGTAACACAGGGGGAAAAAAATTGAAAACAACAAAGATTACAAATCCTGTGTTCTCTTTGTCATTTTTAAGTCTCAGGATAACTTACTTTGTTGAGGTTGTAAACAAAATTTCAAAAAGAAATATTTTCTTAACACTTTTCTTCATGGCAATTGTGGCTGAACTTAGATTGCTCTAAGGGAGTCTGTGTATACTGTTGATTAAGATAGTCAAGGTAGTAGTGCCACCATGCTTCCCCAAGTGATTTAACCACCTTCTAAATGTGGAAAACCTAAGAATAATGACAATAATAAATACTTCTTGTCTAGCATGCCATAGCACAGTGAATTGGATCACGTTAGGCTTCGTCTGCTGCCTAATGCAATGTAACATAGCAGATGAAATGAATCAAATGAGTGACACTCTATTAGAGTTGAAAGATGATGACGCTTGTAAAGCAACTGAAGGGAAATATGTCAATGCAGTAGACTTCACATATTTATTGAAGTCTCGAATCTTTGCAACCCAGCAAATGCATATTTTAAGGGCTATGAAACAAGTGACTACAAATACAGCAGCATGCTTATTAGTGACCAAGCTGTTGCCTGGAACAGAATTCAGCTAAATTTTTTGTTTTCTTTGTGTGTTCAATTTTTTTTTCATTTCTGCAAGTGCTTCCTAGAGACATTGGCTTGAACTTCAAAGCATACTATTGCAAATGACTTAGTGATTATTGTGGTAGCAAGACTCGGAATTTTTAGTTACAAAAGCTCAGTAGTGCCTAAGAAAGATGATTTTAAGTTTCAGTGAGTTAAGATTTAATAATATGGATTCAAAGAAGTAGTATCCAAAAAATATTTTTTACTCTTTTCAGTATTGTAATAAAAAGTTACGGGCTTTAGGATCAATTTTAAGGAAGGTTTTAATTTGTGTTTTTTTCTTGTATTTCTTTCAACTGTTTGTTCATTTTGAAGGCTTATGACAATTTGCTGTGTGATTCATCACTTGAGCCTTTAAAAAGTTAATCTGCTAATTATCTTTCAGTAAATAAGTGTGGAGTTGCTGTAAGGGTTGCAGCCACTTAGGAAGCCTATGAAGACGTGCCTGTTCTTTTTACTTAAAGCTGTATTCTTTTTTGTCTCTGTTTTGTTTGCTTTATGAAGGCAGAAGGCTCAGTTCTCGTTTAAATAATTCTTTTCATTTGATCATTATGCTGGCATTGTGAATTAAATTTTTCAAAATATAGGCAAAAAACTGGTTCAACAGCAAATTTTAATTTATTTTTTTTAAATCTGAAAAAAGTGAAAGCACCTTTGTTTATTAAATGTGGCCTTCCCAAATACAATCTTTATTCTATAAAAATATAATGCGTTTTTATGAAGTTGTCAAATTGTTAAATTAGTTAAAAATTAAATTAAAAATAGCCTCTTCAAGAAATTTGTCTTCTAGATCAGATTTTTGTGTGTGTTCTCAAAGACAGAATATAAGCTGTGAGGTAGAAACCTGCAGTTATGAAGGGGGTGTGCCCCCATTAGTTTCTGAAATTGTTCTCCATTGATTTTAATTACGTAGGAAGCTTTCAGAGTCTGATAAGGTAGCATTAAGGACATTTGGGTACTATTCCTATAATTCTGGTTTTATAATCTGTTTGGATTTCTTTTAAATTATGCTCTGTGAATACTTATGGGTTTTAGAGTTCTTCACACTGGTTTTTCAGATTATTAAAATGCTTCTCTAATGTATCTTACCTAATAATTGACATAAATTGGTAATTTGAAATTAATGTTGCGGTTAATATCTGAAGAAAAAAATCAACGTTAAATGTCTTTGGGTTTTTGCTGTAGGTATTGCATAATAAAACCAATAACCCAAAACTAGAACAAAAATCTAATTAACTTTCTTTCTCTGTATAGCCAACTGTTTGTGAACGGGAGCTCTGTGTATTTGCTTTCCAAACATTAGGAGTGATGAACGAAGCTGCTGATGAAATTGCAACTGGGGCTCAGGTAGAATTATCTAATGCTTATTATGTGTCTGATTTTCTATAGTATTCTCAGTCTTCTCCATTTCTTCTAGTATTTATTTAGACTTGTGTTCCCCATATGCGTACTCTTTGGTAAGTATTATTTGTTTGTCCAATTTTATAGTAAGGACACTGGTTTGTGCAGGGCATTTTCAAATGGTACTAATGAGTTGCTTCCATTGTTTTGCTTCCATGTAATTAGAGTAACCGTGTTTTCTTGTTCTGTTGTACTCAATTAGGTCACCTGGGTTGATAATAAAGGCAGCCATTGTCATTTGGAGATAATTCCCATTTATTTTCACCTAATGAGCCACTACTACTCTCATGCAATTAATAACCTGCTTCCTGTTCATGGTGTTGGGATGCAGCTATCCACTGAGCATCTGTTCTTTTGATCATTAAATAACAGTGGGAAAGTCCATGCTGATGTTGCTGCATAGGCTTTTTTCTCTCTTCTCGAGGATCAGGAATTTAATATAAGCTTGCTTCCTGACTCCAGGTTCAGTTATTGATGTAGTTGTAACCATATAATTGTTTTCTGTCATAATTTTGTATGTGCATTAAAACAAAGATCATAAACAATGTTTCCAAATCACCATTTAACCTCATGTTACAGTAAATTCAAAAGTTAGAAGATCTTACGTTCAAGATCTTTTTAATATCTTAAGTTAAAAATTTACACATCTTACGGAAAAGTGCACTCTTCTCTGATTTCCTAGACTGTGCATTTACATAGTAAGCAACAGGGGTTTTTTGTAAGAGCAAACATTCAGTTCAGTTAACTTTAACTAGCACTAGTGAGTCTAGCCACTGGAAATAAACTCTTTGGGTGAGTGCCTAAATACCACCTATGGGCATATCCTCAAAGGAAGAAACTTACAGCAGTGTGCACCAGCTTCTCCACTTGAGAATATGACTGTGGGATCTGAACATCAGCTCTTCATCTGATGCCTGAACACCATTGGGTGGCTATATTCGCAACATCTGGCATACCAAATGTTGGGATACCTGTGTAAGCTTGTACAAAATGGAAAGAGGTGTGCTGATGAAGCCCCACCTCTTCCTCAGTCCCCTGAAGACCTCAGCTATGTTTTTCTGTGGAGCTAGAGTTTTATTTTTGTAATTCAGGCACTTACATGGCACATTACATGGCACATTACATGTACATTGCACATTAGTTATGAGCAAGTAGCTCTCACTTTTCTTTTTAAATACAGCTGACAGGAGAGGTGGCCCTGGTTAGCTCTCACTCTATGTTTTGTGGAGGTATCACTGTTGCAGGCACATGCAGAGCTTGCTCTAGATCTCTAGAATACCTCTGCATCTACAAAGCTTTGCTGTAGAGTACTGAAGTGATTACAACCTTAATGGTGCTTAAAAGAGTTAAGAGATTTTTTTGGTTGTTTCTTTGGACCCAGGTGACTAAAATTTGCCAGGTCTCACTCTGGTGATAATATTGCATCCAGGTCACTACATCTGATCTGGTTGAGGTCCCATTTCTGTTTGCAGAAAGAATCAGCACTTCCAGGGTTTGATTCATCTGAGCTACTTTTGACATTAGTTTAGGATGGTGTGAATCACAGCATACACTATCAGCACAGTGGTTATTTTCTCCATTGGTTATAAAGAGAGCCTAGTCTGACTAGTAGGAGGTAGGTGTTTGCACTGTGAATCTCTACATTTTGTCATATGAATCTACCTCCAAATCATTTTGTTTAGTGAAGGAGCCTAAATACAGGTTCCCATTACTAGAAATCACACCCATTTTTTTCTGCTATGCTTTCAGCTAGTTTTCTTAGGTATACACCCCTACTTTGTCATTCCCAATATAATGATAGCTCCTTCTTAATAATAAGTGATTATACTTTTTAAAACTTTCAAGCCTGAACTCATCTTGCCTTATTTTAGTCACATAGTCAAAATGACTGAAAATTAAATGCCTAATTTGTTGATAGTTCAGACTCACTATAGCAAGTCTCTGGAGGCAGACAGGCACCGTCTGAGAAACTGATGTCGTAAGAGGGAATTGTCATCAGCAAGTGTCGTCTTGTCCTCCTTGAAAATATTTTAGTCCTAATTTACGTACTTCAGTACCCACTGTTAAGGAGAAGGATTTCAGGCCCAGCTATAAGAACATTTGCTAGATCCACAGTACTTCCTATTACCAAGGAACACATATGCTTTGTATTGTAATGTTTGTATTAGGCTTACCTCCCAGTTTAAGTTGCTCTGCGTTCCATCAGCTCAAAACAATGATCTCAGGGGAAATCAGGGGTTTAAGTAAGCCTAATCTATGCACATTTTCTGCCATGCCAGAGCGATATGCAGGTATCGTGGTGAGAAACAATACAAGAGTCAACAGCTTGTTTAAAGGAGGACTTCGAGATGGTGTTCTAAGAACTGTGCTAGTTTTAAGCCAAAGCCCTCTCCTGCAAATGATAAAGCAAGACAACTTTGAGTCACTGTATTAAGAGATTTGGGGACTCAAGCAACTCTTCCCTAGTAGTGTTTTGTGACTGGAGGCAAAGCAGTGCTTGTGAGAAGCCGGGTGTATGAACTCAGGCTCAATTTCATGGCAATAGATTTACTCAGTTGCAAGCCTGTTGCCTGACCTGGCTGTGTATGCAGACTCCCGGTCTCCTTTGCAAAAGCTAATGGAGATGCCCTGTTTTGAAGCATTCATCACACTTGCAGGTATTATAAACAGGAAAGAAATCAGAGCACCATGGAGGAAGGAATCATTATGTAAATAACTTCATTTTTCAATATATGTGAGACATTTTGTAAGTGGAATGAACAGAATATTTTTCAACTGATAGAGAAAATTGTCCATTCATGCTAAAGGAATGGAGGAGGAGAATGGCAACAGTATGACTCACTGCAGCACAGTTCCTTTTCCCTTTCATCATGATTCTTATTTTCATTCTGCTTCTCTAAAGGACCATTATTTTTTTTCCTCCAAATTATCAGATACATTGGCAGATATATAATAACTTCTAGACTAGCTTGAGCTGTGAGATGAGATCTGATCTGTGTGGAGTTGTGGGAGGAACCAGGGATGCCTGCTAAGTATGACTCATGTCAGCTTTTCCTTTCTTTCATGGAAAAGTCTGTTTTCACACAGCAGTGTTTTCAGAAGACCCAGAAAAAACAGGGAGAGAGGAGCTAATTTATTTGGCAACTTTGGATTTCATTATGAGCTGGATTTAGGTTTCACAGCTGCCAGAAAGCTGCATTCTCTGTTTTGTGATTGCTGTTTTCTATTTTTAACCTTTGAATTACAAATATTGAAACAATTACACAGACATCTGTTGCTACGTTGTTTGTGTGCCTGTGTGCACATACGTGAATACATGCCTTTGTAGACATTACACGCATGATCTTATGGTGAAATCTTGGAAATCATAGATATTTAAAGCCATGTTGTAATTTTGTACAACAGGATGGAAGGAAGAGGATCTCCTAGTGTGAGCCATGCAAATGACTATTAAATCACTACACTGTTCTGGCTTTAGCAGAAGCAATGTTTACAGGTGTTGCTATGATTACAGTCTTCACGAGGACAGCAGGCGGTGGTACAGATTCACAATCCCTATCTCGTTCTTGAGGGACATTTTTCCTTGGCATCTACTGTACAGAGATACACACATCCACCATGACTTCATTTCCCTAGAGAAGGAATTTAATCCAGGAATTAACACATGTGCACAAGAGAAAGCAGGACTGCAAGCAGTGTATTGGACATGACAATATGTTTAGGGCCAGATACTGGTCCTGCTTATGCACCTCTAATAATGTACCAGGGCTGACCCCAAAGCCTGTGGAGGTGAAAGGAAAAATTTCATTCCTAAACTGTGTCCCAGGGATAACACTGATTGGGTATTAGTGAAATATGGTATTACTATAATGTGTAAAAAAAGGAGACTAGGCAATACAATACGAAAGTACATATATTGAATAAATATTTTTCTTGATCCCCAGGTGGTTGATCTGTTAGTATCCATGTGTCGGTCTGCATTGGAGTCACCTAGGAAGGTTGTCATTTTTGAGCCATATCCTTCTGTAGTTGATCCTAATGATCCTCAGACGCTGGCCTTTAACCCCAGGGTAAGTAGTTGTCTTTCATTATGTCATAGCTTGGTTTTAGTCATGCATGAGATTTCAAAGCAAAGCCTTCTGGAGGAGTCTCCTCTACTATAAGAAATACAGCTCCAGAGTATAGCACAAGTGTGTGACTGTTTTCAGAACTTTACAGCTTTTTTAATTGTCTCTGAGAAGGTATTTGGGTATAAAGCGAAAGTTGCATTCAAAGTTATGTTCAAGCCAAGAAATTCTTCTAGGATACAAATCGTAGATTCAAAGTTTTATATTCTTAGTGTCTTTCTCTCAGTGCACACACTGGACACAAAGAGAAAGATGGCCTTTGAGAGGTGTAGACTGTGTAAGCCAGGGAATTACATCTTTTTACTCTTAAAGTCATTATTGCTGTCATCTCATTTTCTTGTTGCAAACAATTATGTCCTTAAACGTGATTTTATCAAATGGTGACATAATAGTTGAGTTTTGCACAAACATCAATTTTGAAGTAAAGAATTGTGTTTCCGCTACTTGGTCCTCAGGCTGCAAATACTGCCTCTCAGGGAAGCCCTCGAGAATCCATGAACTAATACATCTCACTTGAGCCATCCCCAAGGGCATAAATGAGAACTTTGGCTGTCCTGCATTGAGATGCATTTCACTTTTTCTGAAAAAAGGCCAGTTAGCAGTGGTTCTTCCTCAGGAAGGGGCAAGCGTGTTCTGTAGCATGTAAGAAGAAAGACTTGCCAGAAAGTGCTTAGAAGGGAGATGATGAGGAGACAGCTAGTCTGGTGGCTGGGCAAGGTGGGAGTTTGAGGCAGACAAGGGAATATGAAAGAGGGTGACACGAAAAGAGGAATGGAGAGAGCCCCGGGCTGAGAGGGCCCACACTGCCTCCTCCCACCTTCTTGCCAGCACGGGCGAGATGAAAGCCCCTGGGCAGAAGCTGGCAAGACACAGAGATGGGGAACAGTGAAGCTCCTGAAGGCGGTGTGACATGTGGAGCTGGTGAAGCTCATCCACTCAGAAAAAGTGGAGCTGTCTGGTAGCAGTTCCCAAGCAGAAGGTAGGCAAAGATCAGGGTGAGGCAGAGGGACAACTGAAGGACCTCTGATGTTTTATAAAGCTGTTAGCAAAGTTAACACATCTGTTTACTTAGCATTTTATTTAAAATCTACTTAGTCACTGCATTATTTAACTTAATAGCATATTGTCCAAATAACTGTGAGAACCTGTGTTTAGTTGCAAATATTTGTTTAAAAAGTGAGCTAATTTTTTGAGTGTATTGGAGATTCAAGTGAAATTCAAAGAAAAAACATCATGATAATGTTTTTTCAGGGAATTTTCCTGGACTATGAATGAGAGAATCTGTGTGTGGGTGCAAGGAAGCTACTGGTTAGAAATTTTGAAAGCATTGGTTTGCTGAACATTCATCCTAGGTTTGGTTTTATACACACTCAATTCATTTTTTTGTGAAGCCAAAGACTAATATTCTTTTAATTTGTTTGCTTATTTTATGCTACGTCAGAAGAAGAATTATGACCGAGTCATGAAAGCATTGGACAGTATCACTTCTATCAGAGAGATGACACAGGTGAGTTTAAGAAGCTTTACCTAACTTAACTGCTATTTCTAGAACTAGGAAGATGTTTATATGGCTTGCCTATGATGAGTGGGGAAGTCAATAGTATAATTTCTTTCCAACAGAGCTGTAATAATATTAAAATATGTGTTAAAAATAACAAACATAGAGTATCCATAATGGCAGTCAAATAAATATAATTAAGTAGAACTCAGATCTTTTGAAATTTGTGTAAGAGATAATAACAGCAGGATGGGACATTGCAATGAGATAATCACCAGCTGCTGCATTTCTGGAAATATCAAAGCCAAACTGGGTCTTTTATTCAAAAAGCAAAAGAAATTGATTTTGTGACAGTGTTCTGAATGATAGCTTTATTTCTGTTACAGCAAAACAGCTGATCAGCTAAGTATGGTTGTGAACTTGGAAGGCTGGGTCTCTTGGCATTACGACTGTATGATTTCTCAGTATTCTCAGTGGGACAGAGTCTGATAGCTGTACTTAGGTTTACTCTTACACTTCCTTTCCCAAACAGCCCAGCTGACTATAAGTGATTATTGAAATCTCTCCTGTATACCTTGCTTTTCCAAGTGCTATATAAATTTAACCTCACAACAATTTACATATCTTATTCTATATGTATTAGTAAAGTACTTTGGGATTCCGGAACGAAGAATGAGGTGTATAGAGAGGAGTCAAGTAAACTGAAAATTAAAATTTATGTATTTTTGTTAATGTGACATCTGGTAAAAATTTTAAAAATTTGATATTTCTATTACCTTATGTAATGTCTTTTAAAAACAAAAATAACCACCATTTTGTGATTTTTTAATGTTAAAATAATTCGTGGACTGAAGAGTTTTAAAGGGATGCTTTGCACTGTGATTGAAAGCAACAAAGGTTTTCAAAGAGAATATAAGCTAATACAGTATTTTACTTTATCAGTCTATACCATGCAACAGTTAAAAAAAAATTTGAAGTCGATTATCTTGGGATATTTCTTAATTTTGTGAAGTTCCAGTCCAATTTCTTAATCCAAGAGCCAAACATAAATAGACATCTTCTGCTGTTCTCTGTAAGATCATGAATGTTTGCTGCAATATACTCATTTTGATGCTAATTATATGCTTATTATTTTACTCCAGGGAAAATAATTGCTATATTAATTCTTCTTGTTGTCAAAACACATTTATAACTGTACAACGCTAAATGTCAGTAAAATTGTGATGTAAGACTAATAATGTATTCATTTTAATAGATGAAATCATGGGCAATGTAACATACAAAATTTAACCTTATGATTTCAGCTATAAATAAAGAACATAATTACTCTTTTGTAGGCACCTTACTTGGAAATAAAGAAGCAGATGGATAAACAAGACCCGCTTGCACATCCTCTTCTACAATGGTATAAAATTGACTCATATGAGATGATAATTATTAAAGTACCACACTGAATGAATAATCACTTCACCAGTGTAATTTGGTATAAGCTCACCCTAAGAATTAACGTCAGGGTTGACATTTGCAGCTGTAGTTGTTTCTGGACTGTTTCTGGACCTCATCTGGGCCCTTTGAAAACACTGGAAAGGCTCCAGCTTATTTGTACAGCCTCTGATCTTATTTTCTAGTCAAGATTTGGTCTACTTCTATCTGATAGGTTCAAAGGCCTGCAGCTGTGGGTGCTTTGTGGTGGCCGTTCGTAACACATTTTATAAGAAGAAAAGCTCTGTTTGGTTACCATGTCTAATACATCTAACTGTTCCTTATTTCAGGGTTATTTCTAGTAATAGATCACATATTGTGAAGCTACCGGTGAACAGGGTAAGTGTTTGTGGGTTCTTTATTGTTTTCTCATTTCTCGTGGCTTGTATTAGCATTTTAGGTGGGAGTCTCCTAGCCAAACGTGGGTGTCTACATTCAAATTTCACATGGGCTCTATTAGTAGAAAAAGGAGAGAAATAATGCAGTTTCAGGACATGACTCATAGAATCATGTTGTGAATATCTAAAATAGGTCAAAGGAATGATGCCCAGAAAAAGCCTATTTGAGGTGAGTAGCTCAAATGCAAGTGTCTACCTTGTAGTCATCTGAGATTCGGTGAGAATAGCTGCATTATTTGTTTTGTTACCATATAGAATGTTAGATACAGAACTGTACAGAAAGCAGTGCACACAAACATGATGTACCAGGAGATCCACAGTGAGTACACCTTAAAAAGAGCATAGCTCTTGGATTTTAGAGGGATGGTGCTGAGAATCATTTCTGAGTATGGTTCCTCTGATCCTCTGATTAAGGGCATAGTAATCTGCAGCCTTTCAAATCTGAACCTTAATTCAAAGCCAGCTCTGATTATAATACCATGATGAAATTGTTCAATTTAGTTACTTTACTAGAACCATATTAAGCTGAAATCTGTTTCAGAAACTTCCATATGTTTCATAAACCAAAAGGCTTTTTTACTGTTTGATTTCAGGTAAAAGCTATGGCAACAAGACCAATTTCAACTTAGATCATGCAGTTGCAGTCATGTTTGTGTGAAACAGTATGGCATCAGAAGAACTAGCATTATAGAAATACAATGCTTTTGTGTTAAGCAACTTCTTTTCACTTGTACACTGTTTTATATTTTACAGCAACTGAAGTTTATGCACACTCCCCACCAGTTCCTACTTCTCAGCAGTCCACCAGCCAAAGAATCCAATTTCCGAGCTGCTAAAAATCTCTATGGAAGTACCTTTGCATTTCAGTGAGTACACGTATTCTTATTAATCAAAGGTTATCAAAATGCCATGCTATTTTTTTGTTCTTGCCATTTGAGGTTTACAGCTGTGAATTTATTGTTTTAAATGATTGCTGATTTCATTTTGCATTTTACATTGTGGATTTTAATGCTTTCTTTTTCATTTTTTCAGTGGTTCACACATAGAAAATTGGCATTCCATCCTGAGGAACGGCTTAGTTGTTGCTTCCAATACGAGGCTGCAGGTAAACAATAGACTAAATAGACTTTAGCTAACCTCTGCGTGCTTGGTTACATGCTAGTTTAGGCAAGTTTTAAGTGGAGGTGGTTCTGGTAGTCATATAGATGGAAAAAAGGGAAGATTTCAAATACCTTCTTGGTGTACCTGGAAAAGGTATTTTTATGATGCAATTAAAATTAAATAATATGTCTGCTAAAATGGATAGAAAATCCCATTGCAGGAATCAGTGTTTCAGTTTTATATTGCAGAGGAGCACCTCCAGGAGGTTTAGCTCGGTACTGCTTAAAAGCGGTAGGGATTAAAATTTAGAGCTACATAAACTACCTCCATGTTATAGGATTCAACAGCACACTAGATTAACAGGAACTGGATTTATAGCATCTTCTCCACTCCTCTGGTTTTCTTGGGAGTGGAGATCCTAGTACTGGCCAGGAGGGAGGTATTCCAAACTTCAGTTCGTTTTCTCAGACTGAATCATCAGGAGACAGCTATCACAGAACAAAGTAGGCAGCACCAGAGGGACTGGGATCTGTAACTCAGCATACTGTAGCATCAGGGTTTTGACAGCCCTTCCCCAGAGCTGAGTCCGTGATACCTTGGGGAAGGATCCCAGGTTGCTGACTAGGGATCGGGGTACAGAGGACACTGAAAAAAGGAAATCTCTGCTGTTCCTCTGAGTGGTTTGGGTGTTTTTATTAGTATCTTTGGAAGATAATTCGCCAAGAAGGTAGCATTTACACACCAAAATTCACAAAAATGAACCCTTTTGTTTATGCTTATTTTTTTTTGTTGACGGTTGAGATACCGGGAATAAGAGGAAGCAGTAAAGCCCTATTTTACACGTCATCATTTTTAGATCTGTCACACGCCTAAGGCATATCCTGAGCCCAGTTCATCCTGTTTAGTCCAGTACTTGCCAGTCAGGAAAAATACCTACTCATCAGGGATCCTATACAACATCGCAGGATCTGGAGGAATGAAAGCATGTGTGCACATTGCTGTGAGAGCTCTGGGAGATTGCAGAGACAATGTAAATATCATTGGGTCAGAGGAAAGAAATAAGTGTGAGCATGACTCTGAAGCCCACTGGCCATAACATCTACCTAGGTAGGAAGTACTCTGAGTTCCCATTTGCGCTGCCACAACTGCTTGGTGTGTTGTCTTTAAAGGCTTTTCCGCATAAAGCCATCAGTCCCTGGTGGAGAAGTGAAAGCCATACTTCCTGCCTTTCCAGACAAGAAGATAACTGCAGGGTTAATAACAATTGCTCACTTTTGTTGCTTAGCCCAAGCTTTATGACATGGAACAGTGATGTTGGTGAAGAAGAGTATTCACTTTCTTCTATTCTTTTCAGACAACGGGTAGCATTGTGGCTAAAGCACAGTCCTGCAGTGATGGGATATACATGTCTGAACTGGCTCAGGCAAAAGGTTGATTGAATCCATTCCTCCAGTACTCAGACTGAACTAGTGACTGAATTTTTCTGTAGCATATGACCAGTGTCATCACCACCTCTTCATTTCTTAGCTTAAAGAAAACAAAAGCAGGTATTGCTGCTGTTGATTCAAAGGCTGGCTTAGGCTGTGCTTCCTGCCAAGCTTTTGATGTGAGAGACGTGCTGAGGTTGCTCAGCCTTGTTAAGGCTGAGGTATATTTGGCCATGTACAGAAGCAACCTCTCTAGGCATCCTCCATGGTAATGTTAGGTTTAAAAACAGAAAATGCAATTTTATGTATAAATCTGGTGTGCAATTATGTTCGGGCATTTGGACATGGTTTCCAGAACATACAGCCTTTTAGTTGTATAGTCTCAGCATGATTTTTTTAAGACTTTTTTGAACATTTATTACTGTGCAGTAATTTAATGTACTAGGGCAGATGCTTATCTACATTGTGACCTGTTCTTATTGTTGTTATTTTGTCCAGATAACCAAATTAATGTTAAACAGTCACTCCACTCTTTTTTCAGCTCCATGGTGCAATGTTTGGAAGTGGAATCTACCTTAGTCCATTGTCAAGCATATCATTTGGTTACTCAGGTGATGTTTATAAGTCACTCCACAGCTGGAGAAATACAGGGGGATATCTTAGTCTACTGCTTTTCTTATCAGCTTCACTGTTTACAACATTGTATTATATTTTATCTTTGTTGACCAAGATTTAGTTTATTTGGAAAAGAGAAAATCTGAATTCCCGTATTAAATGCCTGCCCTCCTTTTCCAAGGTGCTGAGTATCTTGAAACTATGCTTGAAGTAAATAGTGGTTCATACTGGATGCTGTGTGTAGTGGAGCAGGCCTTGATCACACAGTGGAAATCCAGCTTTGTGATTTTTTGTCAGTGTCTGCCTAAGTCTGTCTAACATTATCTATGGATTCATGGGCTTTTACGACCTGATCTGACAAAACAAATACTCATCAATAGACATGTTCAACTGTGTATATTTAAGAGTATTCCAAAGTATCAATGTGTCAAGATTGCACAGAAAGTGCAGGACAGTGTGTTTATTTTGGCATGAGAAGAGGAGGGAACATAATGTGTCACACTATAAAATCCAAAAAGGAGTCGTGCAGTGTTTTCCATAGAAGAATTAAATCATATATAGAAGCATAATAGAAACAAGATACCCCAATGTGTATATGAAGAAACTTAAGAGATTTTGAAATACAATGACTTTTTTCTTTAGGTATGTTATATTTACCATTTCCGCACATATGCAAGTGCTAATGTAGTTGAATGTGTGTTTGTGTGCATGCAGATAATTCTGATAGTTTTAGTTATGCTTTCTGATTTTCAGTATTTTTAGGTAATGTCACAATTCATTTTAAGAGCTCTGTGCTTTTAGTACTATTTATTGAACTTCAGTATCAATAATCTCTAAATGCACTTTTAGCTTTTCAGAGATTACACAAATATGGAAGCTTTTTTAGGACTCACTAAAAGTGCAGGTTGCAGTGTCATTATCTAACAAAATTCCCTTCTTCTTGGACAACATTGCTTTGTCAGCTTCCATGTATTTTTTCTCATCTCTCTACCTTTCTTGGTCCCTTCCATCCACTCTCCTTCCGAAAGGAGGCCTATGTTCCAATGAAGTATGTAATACTTGATGCTAGTAAAAACCATGGAGGAATCCTACACTCCCTGTTCCTTCAAAGAGTTAAACTTCCCCACAATTCATTCTGTGTTTGCAAACTGACAAGAAATATGGGATACTGGAAAAGCAAAGAAGCCTGTAGTAGCATGCAGTACAGGAATTTTACATAAACCAACATGAGGGATATAAGAGAGATCTAAGGCACAAATGTAGGTGTTAAGATTTCTGAGATGAAAATTGGATCCATTGTGGCTGACAAATAAATTTATTAAACCAAGGTAGACTGTAAAACTTTAAATAAATTAACTGCTCCTAAAAATTAGACTTCTAGTAAGTCTAAATGAAGTGATAAGATTAATATCGAAAGTTCTTTCTCTCGTGATTTTACTGTCCTACCCACAGTAAATCAGACTGTGTTACTTCAGCCTGAACAGGGTCAGTCAGCCTCAAGAGATGCTGACATGCAACTCTGTTAAGCAACCACCTAAGAGCATTCCTGAGCCAAAATCAGTGGCATTTAAGCTCATGTTTGTCTGCTTTTGCACCTACTTAATGCTAACTTGATTTTCCTAAGGTCTTTGCAATGCATGCAGGTGTCCTGGCAATTTGCAGGATTAAACTGATAAATTCTATGACAAAATAAGCTTTTTGGGTGCCATACATAGGACTGCCATCTCCACTGTGCTATGTGTTTCATTCTCCATACTTAACTTTGCTTATTATAGTATTTATATGCCAGGGTGTCTTACATGATTTTAATATTCCTAGGGATGAACAAGAAACAGCAGAAGGTGTCAGCTAAAGATGAACCAGCCTCAGGCAGTAAGGGCAGTAATACATCACAGGTACAGTATATTCACCATCTCTGGAAGATTTATGATTTTACGCTTGGGAACTTGATAGCTGAAAAAAAGGTAATATTCTTTGTGAAAGCTAACAGTTTTATTTTATTGAATGGAATCAACAACTTCAGAGACTGAAAATAGTGAATGCAGTCCAACGGCTTTTAGTAACAATTTCCAGAGTATACTGCAGGTCTTGTGCCCTTCTTTTCCAAGCAGAAGAATATGGGAAGAGAATGAAAAGGAGATACAGATTGTATTGTGACCCTTAGCAAGCCCTTGCTTTCCAAGTTCTAGACTTGCAGGAGAATGATGCAAAAGCAGTTGAAATTTGCTATTGCTGGAAAATGAGTAGCATTTCATTTATAGCAAGTCAGTTTTTCTTTTTCATGGTTTTTACATATTAAATCATTACAATTCTGCTTTGTCTAAAGCAGACTCATACCATTAATGTGTAGGGCTGAATTTTGAGAAAGAAATCTTACACCTATCTCCATAGTTAACACATAGAAACTACAGAATAATCTGGCTTTGGAGAGAGATTGGTATGTAACAGCAGAAGCCCTCAGAAATGGGAAGGCCAGTAAGATATCAGGGTAGTGGCCAAAAAGTCATTGATCAAATTCACCTTTTTCTGCTATCAATTTGTTTATCAGTAACACTCTGATATTTCTAATAATATTATTCATTCTGTAATAATTAGTAACTTTTCTTGCTGGATGAAGGAGTTCAAATTACTCCTACAATAATCCAAACAAATAAAATAATTTTTTTTCGAAATTCTGTAACATGTAGAAGTAAAATAGAAATGTTTAGAAAGACTGTCTCTATCTTTGTTCACTACTAAATCACTGGAAATAGCAGCCCTCTCCTTCATTACTTTTTTCACTCAGTTTGTCTTACTGCACTAGTTATGTTTTCTCATGTTTTTACATTTCAGTCACAGAAGAAAGGACAACAGTCACAATTTTTGCAAAGCCGTAACCTAAAGTGCATAGCCTTATGTGAAGGTAAGCTGAAAACCCTTGAAAACATCTTTAGTCATGGACACAGTGTTACTGGGTGCAAATCAGTGAGACCATTAGTTCCACTATTGGTTGTTTTTAGGTGAGAAACTAGTGCTAGGCGTACGAGTCCTGGCTTAATAGCTCACCTTTGTATTTCAGTTCAGAACATTTCCCTCTTCAAACAAAACCTGTAACATACTGAATTTTCATGAAATAATCATATGCACGTATCAACTGATCATCTGGTCTGTCCTTCAAATGTGATCCTATTCCTAAGCCATCAAGATAACCAAAGTTGTGGCCTTTATTTGAAGCACTGACTTCCTGCAAGCTCTTGACAAATGCATTAAACACCAGAAGTCAGAAAAAACAGCTTTCCTATTGAATTTCCAAATAATTTTTCACTGTTCAGGCAAATACACTGTTCTTCTGGTAACCAGTCTGTTCTCTTTGACTGCTTCAGAAATTTTGTGAAGTTAAAATCCAGGGCATATGAGGACAGTTGTTGTTGAAAGACTTGGCTATTCTTTTAATAACTAATGAAACCACAGCAGGTTTTCAGAACAAAGAATTATGAAATTTTAATAAGAATTGTAGCAGTAATTGGTAATCAGTCTCACTGGCCATACAAAAAGAAATTTTAGTAAACTCCATTTGCCCTTCATTTGGAGCATCTGTTTATTTTTAAAAGTGAAAATTAAGACAAACGGTGGAAAAGATGTTATTCCAAAATGGAAACTTTAAGCTATAAATGCTACTTGTTAACATATATATTTTTTTGAGAATGTTCAAGTGAAACATTTTTTATGATTAAAGAGATGTCAGTTAGCATGAAAATGCAATTTGATCTGAACAGAAAAATACGTAAGTTTAGTTCTAAAACTTTCAGAAGAAGATGATAAATGAATCTAGGGTTTACTAGAATTTACTAGAAATAATGCCTGATGTTTATAAACAAAAATTACATCTTTCACAAGGACTTTTTAATTGATGTCATTCTTTCCTCACACTTATTAATGCATTATTGATTTTATAAGGGTGAATTTTAAATATATAGTAAAATATATTTTACAACATTCATATTCACTTCATTTTTCTGTGAAAATAAGTGCTTAGGGGAGGTGGCTAATATAGATTTTAAATAAAATTAATTACAAGAGATAAATGTTTCTTAAAAACTACAAGTCATGGGAAAAAGAATATAAAAATTGAATATGCATTTATTCATAGTAGTGTTAGACTAGAACAGAATAGTCTGTTTCAGTTGGAGGGGACCTACAAGGATCATGTAGTGCAACTGCCTGACCAATTCAAGACTGACCAAAACGTAAAGTATGTTATTAAGGACATTGTTCAGGGTTGGGGCATCAACCACCTCTCTAAGAAACCTGTTCCAGTGTTTGGACATGCTCTCAGTAAAGAAATGCTTCCTCATGTCCAGTCTGAACCTCCCCTGCTTCATGTGTCCATTCCCATGTGTCCTATCCCTGGATCCCAGGGAGAAGAGCTCAGCACCTCCGTCTCCACGTCCCCTCCTCAGCAAGCTGCAGAGAGCAATGAGGTTGCCCCTCAGCCCCCATTTCTCCAAACTAGACAAGCCCAAAGTCCTCAGCCACTCCTCACAGGACATTCCTTTCCAGCCCTCTCACCAGCCCTGTTGCCCTTCTCTGGAGGTATTCAAGGACCTGCACATCCTTCTTAAATGGTGGGGCCCACAACTGCACACAGCACTCAAGGTGAGGCCACACCAACGCTGACTGCAGCGGGGTGATCTCCTCTTTTGCCCGGCCGGTGATGCTGTGCTTGATGCACCCCGGGATGGGGTTTGCCCTCTGGGCTGCCTGAGCACGCTGCTGGCTCCTGTTGAGCCTGCTGTGGACCAGCACCCCTAGATCCTTTCTGCAGGGCTGCTCTCCACCCACTCCTCTCCCAGTTTATTCTTGTGCCCAGCGTTATTCCGTCCTCGGTGCAGAATCCAGCATTTTCACTTGTTAAAATTCATCCCATTAATCATAGTCCAGTGCTCCAATCTGTCTAGATCCCTCCGCAAGGCCTCTTGTCCCTCAGGAGAGTTAACAGCACCTCCCAGCTTGGTATCATAAGCAAACTTGCTAAAGGTGTATTCAACTCCTGCATCTAAATCATTAATAAATATATTGTACAGAACTGGCTGTACAATTGAGCCCTGAGGAACACCACTGGTGACCAGTCACCAGCCAGATGTAGCCCCATTCACTACCGCCCTTGGAGCTCTCCCCTTCAGCCAAGCCAGTTCTTCACCCACTGCATCGTCAAACCCCTCATCCCACAGTTAGGCAATTTGTCCAGAAGGTTACTGCTTCAATGCATTTATAGAAATCTTCTAAAATACAGATTTCTACCTAGCAATAAAAAGGTTTCTTTCCTGTGTTGTCCTTATTGTGCTGGTAAACAAAGTACCATCAAATACTTTGCTGTTTTCTAAATGGTGAGCAAGTTTTGGCAAGCTTTGTGACCTCCATGAGTCATAATTGCTGTGCTTAATTTTTTAAAATATTTGGCGCATTTCAGATCCCAAATCTGTCATACCTCAGCTTCAGGCTTTGTCTTTTATATCTTATTTTTGGCTCAGCAATCATCAAACACAAATATCTCTGTTCCAAAGGCTGATCAGTTTACTCAGCTCCTTCTTAACAGCCCTATCGCCATTTGAAATTAATTTTTAATAAATACACTTTTTCATTTTTTCATTCCAATTAACAGCTGGCTCCCATATATAAAGCGTCTGTGTTTTCTGGAAAATACATTTTGGAAACAAGAATCAAGTTCATCTCCCTGTTTGTACTAGCAGTCAACTCAGAGTCTACGCCACACCACAGACATGCAGTGGAAAACTGCACATTCCCAGAAGACTATTTAAAGTTTTTAAAAAAGAAGACCTTTTAAACCAGTATTTTTCAGGCATGTTTTAATCAGTATGAAATGTATTCTTTCCCTGATAGTGATAACCTCATCCGATCTGCACAAACATGGAGAAATATGGGTAGTTCCCAATACGGATCACGTGTGTACAAGGTTTTTCTTTGTGTGAGTACAAAACTTCTTTTAACATTCGACTTCTGTATGTCCTAGACCTTTTTCCCCGTGTTCCCTCCAATAGTTCTAACTGAAGTAAAAAGAAGTTTATTCCTAATGCTCTAACGTATCACTTTATTTTTTATCTTTCTCTGTACTTACTTTGTTGGGAAATGTATGGATAAGCTAGTGACAAAGGTTTAGTAGATGTTTTGTTAGAGATTAAATGAATAGAGAGTTACTAATTTTTCCCACTATATAGCATTGCCTCATGTTACAGTAAGTCTATCCACGTATCGTAAAGTACGATTTCTATATGGCTGTATGTTTTAAAGCTGAGGAGTTCATTAAAGGCTTCCTGTCTATGATGTGGGCATTTCCCCTCTCCCCTATGACTTGTCCTCTTTGGGTCCTAGTGGCTTATTCAGCCTCCAGTTTTCAGTGAATACCCTTCACTCTCTAGTGAGAGAGAAGCACATGATGGTGAATTGCAGCAGAGCATTTTAATAGAAAAAATGTTCACATATGGAATAAACACTCTTGATTATTGTTTTAAACAGTTTTGGATATTTTTGAGTAAATTAATGAAAGACTAATTTGATTTTTTTTTCTGTGCTTTTTTTTTAGTTATGAAGATGGTCAAGTGGGTGATACAAGTATAAATACACAGGAACCAAGCATTCATAAAGAGATTCTTCGAGTCATTGGCAATCAAACTGCTACTGGTTAAAAGGACCACTCTTATTTAATTGATGTGATTTGGAAGCCTTCCTCAGTCTCAAAGCTGGATTTTGAACTGAAGAAGATGCAAAAAACTAATTTATTATTATTATTCTAAGCAAATTAACCCTTTGAATACTTACTGTTTTCTTACTTAGTATTTCTTATCTCATCAAAATACCTGAGATGGTATGAATTAGCAACTGTAGGGGTGCAAAGTCTATTAATATACTATAACTAATAATAATTAAACAGGCATTTGGGTTGCTCACAATAAATGGACTTTAAAAAGGAGTTTTGTGCTGATATTTTTATATTAAACTTCAATTGGAGGTTTTAGTACTATATACTGGTATTTTAAATTTAGAATGACTGAATTATAAGTGATAGATAAGATTTTAAAGCAGAGCACCTGTATCACGCAGGATACTTTGCAATAAGTAAAATATTCTGGTATTTAAACACAATAAAAGGTTGTTGAAACATGTCAAATTAAAGAGATTGGTTGCCTGCAGCTATCTTTGATTCACTTTATTTTACACAAATGCAGCTAGGATTTAAAGTCAAAGGTTAAAACGAGAAACAAAGCAAAAAGTAATGAATGTGATGGTATGTGTTTAGTTATCTTCATCTTCTTTGGAAACACTGTCTTATCCATTAAGCAGCTCAATTGCATTTTTCAATTATACAAGCCTAGCAAACATCTGGAAATCCTGAAGCTGCTAACTTCCTTTTTATAGTTTTGTTTTTTATATAGTAGATTTTACAGTTTCTTTAGATCAACAAGGTTCTTTGATGTTTTCATCTTAACTTCAGTGAAATTGCTCTGTGGTTAAATTTAGCCACATGTTTGAAAGTACATGCTGAATTAAGGCTTTTACCTGATAGAGTTGATAGTTGGTGTATCAGAAAATACAAAGAAATGCAAAATTTTACTGATTTTCTCTAGGTGAGATGTTTTTATTAATTTATACCTAAGGGAAAACAAACAAAGTCAAACCTCTCTGTCCTTTATATTTAATAACTGTTTTTTACAAGTGAGCATGATGGCAGCACAGGTAGGGAGGGGCCGAGTCTCCGAGGTGTAAAGCATATCCTGTGTATCAATCATACCCTTGAATATGAAGAGCAGTTCAAGTTACCCATATGTGCAACTGTTACAAGCCACCTCAGAAAGCAAAAATAGACTGAATCCTCTATTACGTTTTTTTCATAATAAAGATACTGAAGAGCCAAATATCAGCACAACAGAGCACAGGCATGTTTGTCTCTTTTAAACAGAACTGCATTAGATGTGCTGTAATGGGTGACTCCTCCTTTCTAGTTCAAGCTACACTCCCTTATGACTTGCTGCAGTTGAAGTGCCCTGCAAGTAAAATAGTGTTACTGGGCCTAGGAGCACATACTTAGAGATGTATTTTAGCATTCCAGATTTATTTGCTGGGGACTTCAGTTTTTCTGAGTGCACGTTCAGACTTGTAAAGCCAATCCTGTTTTCAAATTGCTGTTTTGTTACCGAATTTCTGTTGACTTTCACCCCCATTTGGTGGACCCCTAACTTGGAACCACTACTCTGTTATATTTTGTACTGGGGACACAGGTTAACTTCTTGAAGCAAAGAGGATTCCTGAAATTTATCTGTGTATGGACAGCCATAGGGTGTGTAACTGCACAAAATCAGCATAATTCAGAAGTGGAGCTGAAACTGTGGAATGCCTATCTGTCTGTAATTTGTCCTGCCATATATGTCTGAATCACTGTGTTTTGCAGAACAGGAGACTAGGAAGCAAATCCACAAAGGTATCCTACGTTGACTTACTGGGCTGATAGTCCATCACTCTGGGAGGCCTTCTCAAAAAACTAGGAGAAAAGAAAGATGACCATGAGTGAACTGGAGAAGCCAAGTAAGCAGTCATCTTCCCTGACCCCTCAAGGTGCAGCAGGGTCACAAGTGAACCGCTTGAAGGAAGAAACCTGGAACGCAGCTATGGCAGTGAGTTAGCCTTGGTTTGCACGGTGGGGTTATGATACTGGCCAGGTACTGTAAGTACAACCACTGGAAAAGGGAGGGAAAATACATCTCTGCCAAATTTAAAGACTACTCAAAGGTTTGTTTTAAACGGATGAGCAGGAGGAAGGGACAGCGTGGAGGAAAGCAGGGCTCTGAGGTACATGGAGGCCTTGCTGTTGTAAGGTGCCCACTTCAGGAGGTACTGAGGGGACTGCCTGACGTGCAAAGGAGAAGGAAGGTGTCCAAGAGTAAAAGGCAGAATGTGATGGGCACAGGTGTTACAAAGCAGCGGGAGAGGGCAAAACCTTTCGGGGAGAAAGGTAGTTCTGAAGGGATGAGGGCTTTGCTGGTAGGAAAGAGGAATAAAAAGAGGAGGCACCAGATTACTAGCAGGCAGCGTTAGCAGCTTGGGTCCCACACAGTGCATAGCATGGAAAGGGACTGGGAGAACAAAGCTGCAGTTGGGGGTAATGCAGCCGCAGGGGTATGGGTACAGGGCAGCACTGTGCCCAGGGCAGCTGGGCCAGCGGTGAAGTTGTCACGCTGCAGGGCACAGTGTCCGGTGTCACACACAAACAGCTATTGAATTAAAGCAAAATTTACTTGCTACACAGTAACCCTGTCACTGTTTTCTTTAGCCAGAATGTTAATGTGAGACTTCTTCTAAGGTCATGTATTACCTGTAGGTGAACAGGAGTCTTCAGATCGTTTAACAAAGTGTTAGTTCTCGTAATTTTTAAAAGATGAAGGAAAAGAGAAAGGTTCTTCCGAGATCTGTTACTCAAAAATAAATAGGCCTTCTGCAGCAAACTTCAAAGCTGAAACCAAGACTTTATGCCAAGAAGTGGAATGAAAAAGCCTGAGGACGAGATTCTCTTTGAAGGATTTTTCCCTTGTGGTTTTATCCAAGGGTGGAAGTTGCGTATGGCCGAATCACAGAATCACAGAACGGCAGGGGCTGGAAGGGACCTCTGTGGGCCATCCAGTCCACCCCCCCTGCCGAAGCAGGGTCACCTACAGCAGGCTGCACAGGACCTTGTCCAGGCGGGTCTGGAATATCTCCAGAGAAGGAGACTCCACAACCTCCCTGGGCAGCCTGTTCCAGTGCTCCGTCACCCTCAGAGGGAAGAAGTTCTTCCTCATGTTCAGACGGAACTTCCTGTGCTTCAGTTTGTGCCCATTGCCCCTTGTCCTGTCACTGGGCACCACTGAAAAGAGCTTGGCCCCATCCTCCTGACACCCACCCTTCAGATATTTGTAGGCATTTATAAGGTCCCCTCGCAGCCTTCTCTTCTTCAGGCTGAACAAGCCCAGTTCCCTCAACCTCTCCTCGTAGTGGAGATGCTCCAGTCCCCTCACCATCCTTGTAGCCCTCCGCTGGACTCTCTCCAGTAGCTCTTCATCCTTCTTGAACTGGGGAGCCCAGAACTGGACACAGTACTCCAGATGAGGCCTCACCAGGGCAGTGTAGAGGGGAAGGAGAACCTCCCTTGTCCTGCTGGCCACACTCTTCTTGATGCACCCCAGGATCCCATTGGCCTTCTTGGCAGCCAGGGCACACTGCTGGCTCATAGTTAACCTGTCGTCCACCAGGACACCCAGGTCCCTCTCTGCTCTCCAGCAGGTCCACCCCAAGCCTGTACTGGTGCATGAGGTTGTTCCTCCCCAGGTGCAGGACCCTGCACTTGCCCTTGTTGAACCTCATCAGGTTCCTCTCTGCCCAGCTTTCCAGCCTATCCAGGTCACGCTGAATGGCAGCACAGCCTTCCGGTGTATCTACCACACCTCCCAGTTTGGTGTCGTCAGCAAACTTGCTGAGGGTACATTCTAACTCTTCATCCAGGTCGTTGATGAAGAAGTTAAACAAGACTGGGCCCAGTACTGACCCCTGAGGGACACCACTTGTCACCAGCCTCCAACTAGACTCAGCGCCGCTGATGACAACCCTCTGAGTTCTGCCATTCAGCCAGTTCTCTATCCACTTCACCGACCACTCATCCAGCCCACACTTCCTCAGCTTCCCCAGGAGGATATCATGGGAGACTGTGTCGAAAGCCTTGCTGAAGTCAAGGTAGACAACATCCACAGCTCTCCCTTCGTCTACCCAGCCAGTCATGTCATCATAGAAAGCTATCAGGTTGGTCAGGCATGATTTCCCCTTGGTGAATCCATGCTGACTATTCCTGATAACCTTCTTTTCTTCCACTTGCTTGATGATGGCCTCCAGGATAAGCTGCTCCATCACCTTTCCCGGGATGGAGGTGAGGCTGACCGGCCTGTAGTTCCCTGGGTCCTCCTTCTTGCCCTTTTTGAAGATTGGCGTGACATTGGCCTTTCTCCAGTCCTCGGGCACCTCTCCTGTCCTCCAGGACCTCTCAAAGATGATGGAGAGTGGCTCAGCAATGACATCCGCCAGCTCCCTCAGCACTCGCAGGTGCATTCCATCGAGGCCCATGGATTTGTGGACGTCCAGATCGCTTAAGCGATCCCTCACACAGTCCTCCTTGACCAAGGGAAAGTCATCATCTCTGAGGGCTTCCTCTCTTACCTCCAGGGCCTGGGATTCCTGAGGGCCTGTCTCGGCACTGAAGACTGAAGCAAAGAAGGCATTCAGTAGCTCTGCCTTCTCCGCATCCTCCGTCACCAGGACACCCGCCTCATTCAGCAGCGGCCCCACATTGTCCCTAGCCTTGCTTTTGCTGCTGATGTAGTTGAAGAAGCCCTTCTTGTTGTTTTTGACATCCCTTGCCAGCTTCAATTCCAGGTGGGCTTTGGCCTTCCTCGTCGCATCCCTGCCACTATATTCTTCCATACAGTCATGTTTGCATGGATTCCAGGGGATGAAAAGTAACAGGGTCATCTGAGCAAGGGTCCTGCGTTATCCGCAAAGGCCTTGCATTTCCCTTCCTCTGGTATCATGCACATGTACTGGTGATAGAACAATCTTTATAACTCCCGCTGTAAAGATGGAGGCTTTTCACAGATAGCTTTTAATGACAGAAAATAGAGCTCCAGGTTCTACTATCTCTCTTGGTAGAAATCTCCATGAAGCCATAGCTATCTAACTGTGACCATGTCCAGCACAGAGCAACCAAGGGACTTCTTGTGAAGGAACTTTCTCACTTCTTCCTACATCCCACAACAAATTACAAGCCCTCAAATGGGGACGGTTTGATGGAAAAAATATGTTAATACCTTAATGTTGCACCCTAATTATGAATTGCCATATTTATACTTCTGAATATTTTAACCACTGAGAAAGGAATCCAAAAA